GTCAGAGCATCTGCCCCCTGGTGGTCAGTGCACATCTTAGCAAGCAGTTGAGCAGCCTTAGCATATCACACTTTGATTGGTTGTTCTGTTGTTTGGTCTATTTGCATATTACCCTTTTATTATATAGGATGTCCTTTGAAAAGACTTGCACTGAGCGTACATGTTAATAATTCTGAAATGACTTTAAATATATATTGGGCTTGAACATGAAAGTCAATGAATGATGGGTGGTGGGAGCAATGTTTCTCAATGTCAGAAGGAAGTTTCAAATAAGTAAGAAAGGAAAACTAGAACAAAATCTGTGGTACCGGATTGGAGTCAGAGATATCAGTATGTATTAATGTTTAGCTCACAAAGATAGGTAGATACAAAGACAATCATAGATGTGTGTGAATTTTTGGGTTAATATGCATACATATCTTATGTAGTTCTGTCTGCTGAGAGGGCCCAGAAGCAATAATAACCCAGTAACAACCAACATACCCAGAGCCCAGCTCTTCATTTCTAAATACCATTCTCAAGTAAAAGGAACCAGAACTCCTTGAAGAACTGGCTAATTCTCAGGCTGAGTAGGAGGAAATACAAGATGAGCTTGGAGCATTTTGCACTGCCAAAAAGTAAGGAGGTGTTCAAAAAACAAAAGGATGAAGGCAGTTCAGAAAGACATAGGGAACAATGGATAAAGCTGGAACAAATGGAGCAACAAAATGGATAGTGTAGTTTAGATTATAATCCAAAGAGTAAAAATATATGAGTTCATAGTGATAAAATAAATAATTGGATAAATAACTGGAAAAAGAGATACTTTTACTTACTGAAAATTTTCAAATAATATATAAAGATACTCTCCCCTTAGGAGGTATAGTGTAATCTCCCTCCTCGAGGTCAGGTTGAACTTAGTGAATTATTTAGAGCATGAGAGGGAAAATAGCAACTTTACAATGGAGAGACCTGGCAAATGCTCCCTTAACAAAATGATCAAGGTTAAAATCACTAACAATGTCATGATAACATCACGTGCCCCCACTATGATGTGGTGAGAAGGGCATTTTACCTCTTCTACCGTTTTCTTCCCCAAACCCTTAACTCCAGCCTAATCATGAGAAAATTATCAGATAAACAAAATCAAGTGACAGTCTACATAATACCTGAGCAGTGCTTCTCAATACTGTCCAAATAATTTTAAAAAAGAAAAGAAAAGCCCTTGCTGGTTTGGCTCAGTGGATAGAGCATTGGTCTGCAGACTGAGGGTCCCCAGTTCAATTCCGGTTAAGGCCACATGCCCAGGTTGCAGGCTCAATCCCAGTAGGGGCATGCAGAAGGCAGCTGAACAATGATCCTCTCTCATCACTGATGTTTCTATCTCTCTCTCTCTCCTTTCCTCTCTGAAATCAATAAAAATATATTTTTTTTTAAAAAAGAAAAGACTTTGTCACAGACCAGGGAAAAATTTGGAGATATGACAACAAGATACAATGCAGCATAGATTGGGTGGATGGGTAGAAGTGAAATGTAATAGTGATGTGTTGAAGGTGGGAGGTGAAGAAGAGGAAGGAATCAGCAATGATAGCCAGGATTTGATTTTGTACTACTGGATAGTGATTCTACTTGGTAAAGAAGATGGAGAAAAAGGTTTGGAATATGTGCAGGAGAAAATCAAGAATTCTATCTTGGACCTATGTATCAGATTTGAGATATCTAGAAGATATCGCAATGAAATTGTGAGGTAGACAGTTGGATATAAGATTGGTGTGCAGAAGAGACCTCTGGGCTAGAGAAATATTAATGGGAGTCATTTAAAAAATACCAGCCATGGTATTTAAAGCCATGTAAATGGATATGATAACCTAGGTAGCAAATGTAAGAAGAGAAGAGTAGAGGAACCAGCTTCGGGTCTTGAGAAATAGTAATATCAAGAGGCCAATTAGGACAAGATAAAGCAGCAAAGGAGATTGAGAAGGTTAATGGGAAACTGACAGAGAAAGTCATAAAAGCCAAAAGAAGAAAGTGTTTTAATAAGAAAGAAATAGCTGAACTGAATATAACTTATAGATTGGGTGAGCTGGTAATGAATGTATCCATTGAAATATGAAGCACACTGATAACAACAAGAGCAGTTTCCCAGGGTGTATGGCAAAATGTATTAAAAACTAAGTTAAAGAAGAAAACAAACAAACAAACAAACAAGAAACAAAACAAAAAAAACAGATTGGGAGAAAAATATTCAGACCGAAAAGGAATACTATCTATAAAATATAAAGCACTGTAATCATTCAGTAAGAAGAGACAACCTAATGGGAGAAAATGGACACAGGATAAGATAAAGGAATTCTTATCAGAATAAATGTAATGCAGAGTCTCACTCATAATTATAAAACTGTCAATAAACAACGAGATACCATATTTTTCTCTTTGGTTGTAAAATATATAATATTTCACAATCTCCAGAATATGCAAAGAGACTGTCATAGTCCGTTGGTATATAAAGACATTTTGGAAGATTGCTTTTAGACCTATTTTCCATTAATTTTACTTCTAAGAATATGTTCAGCAGAAACCCATACAGAGGTGTTCAAGATTATATCTTATTCACCAAATTTAAGACACCACTGATTGAAAGATGAATCCCAATTTCAGAGATATTAAAATGTGAAGATAAGTATACCCTAGAAATGATGAAAGACAGTATTATAAAGATGTTCTTTGCAGCATTGTTTAAAAAGTTAAATTTAATAATATTGGGTTTTAAACTGCCATTCAAAGACCAAAGATCTAAACATGGCCACTGGTATTGTTAAGTGAAAAAATGAATTTGCAAAAGAATATAGTATTATTCTATTTCTATAGGAAAAATTAATATATGTATGTAGTTATAACTTCATTTTAAAAAATTCTGGTAGGATAAACAAAAAACAGGGCGACCTCTTGGGAATGAGATTGGCATGGATGTGAAGGCTACTTTTTCCTTTTTCTTTATACATATATATATTTCGATTTAAAAAATCTCATTATTTTTGCAGAACAAAATATCTCTTTATGTTTTAGCCTAAACAACCTGATTTGTATAAAATTATCTACTTGAGAATGAGATAGTAGAAGGCTAACATCTGAGCATTTGGGGATTAAATTGAATATTTCATGGTCAATGACAAGGTTAAAAAATTTTGGGTTTTGTTTCCAAATCTAGATATTAATGAATTCAAATAGAATTATAATCTAGAAGTCGTAGAATTATAAGTGGGAACTGGATGATATAGGATGTTGTGGTGATAAAGGGGAGAAGCAGGAATATTGTTTTTTAGGAAGAAATGTAGAATTTGGAGAATGTGTGGAAATTTTGTCTAAAATTCAACGTTGTATAATTGTCATCCTGAAACTCAGGAAATAGAATCCTTGAGATATGGGAAGTGGGGCTCTTTGCAGGGATTTGGTTGCCAAACGTCTTATGTCCTTGGGGCCAGGGGAGTACCCAGCAAAGACAGCTGCTGTCATACATTTGGCAGCTACAGCTGACACTGAGAGGGGTGGATCAACAGATTGGCACAGGCCAAGCAGCTGCCTCTGTATTCACAGTAGGAACTGAGATGAGAAATTACAACGAGAATATTTAAGACAATAATAATTTTAAACAACAGCATTGCCATAAAAAATCTCAAATATAAATAACTATATGTCATCTTAATATATACTGGATACTAACATTTTCATTAGTAGGAATGACTAAACTATTATAAATGATGATCTTCTATAAGGCTATTAAAGCTCTAAAATTCCATTATTCTATACAGGTCAAATTCTACAAGCTGAGTCTCCCCACCACCTTGGGAATTTAAGTATTGTAGAAGTGGGGAATAAAATACCTTGTTAATTCTAGTCTTTGAAGACATTTCTAAGTCTGTAAGATTAAATATATGGAAAACCATGTAAGTAAAGAGATAAAGCTACTACAAGAGGATTTCAAGAGTACAGTAACGAACAGTAAAAAGACATTCTCAGGACAATTGAGGAAATATAAATATGAAATGGTTATTAGATGATATTTAAGAATTTTGATGTCGATAGTTAATTCTGTTAGATGTGATAATATTATATTATGTTAGAAAACATTAGTGATGCATGCTCAAGTTTTTAGAGTGAAATGTCATGTTATTTGTGATTTACTTTAAACGCTTCAGCAAAAGATAAAGATGAAGCTAATATGGCAAAATATGAATGTGAAATCAAGATGAGTATATGGGAGTTCATTATACCCTGCTCTGTATTCTCACATAAACTTTTAATAAAATGTTTAACAAAGTACAGGTAAAGTAAAATTCAAAAGGGCAAAAACAACAACAACAACCCTACAGATAGTTCATTGAATAAGAAAATTAATTGCTGCTTACAATGCGGTAGTAGAGAGTATTCCAGTCAAGAACACCCTTCATTGCAGAGGGCTTCCTTTGTATGAGGAGTCCTGTATCCTAATTTAGGCCCTGCCCACTTTAATGGCTCCCCCTCAGGGAGCCTTAGTTTATGTATTTGGAAAATGAAAGAATTCGGTTAGTTGATTGTTTTGTCTTTCCTAGTTCGGAGATGCCTACCAGTGCCAAACAGGTCATTCAAATTGTGCTTGCAATTTAAAGGGGACGCCTCTTCAGCCCATCCTGTGGGCTCAGAGTTCCCTAGCCTTTTCCGAGAGTAGGAAGAAATACAGATTTTTGTGTGAAATGAAAGATTTGTAAATGTTGGCCAATAAAGATGTAAAGAAAAACAAAGGTGTAGAGAGGCGCGGGAGGGACCACCAAACTCTGTGCATCCACTTTGGTGCTCAGTTAGGACGCTACCATGGGGCAGGTGCGAAGGGGAGGAAGACCATTCCATTAAACCAGACGAGGATCGCCACATCCCGCAGTGGTTTTAGGGACAAAATTCTGCTTCAAAATACGAGGCCACATCAGCCTATGAGATTCCATCTACGGATGAAAGTCACCACCACCGCACGCAAAGGGAGCCCGGGTTTTTATTTTCATTCGCTCTCCTCCTCCGCGGGCGCTCGGGCAGTCGCGTAGCTCAGCGCCCCTCTCGTACCCGGGTTCCTCCGGTCACTGCAGGCGCCACCGATTGAGTCTCCGGGAGCGCCGGGGGGCCGTCCGGGGGCGCCGTCCGGGCCACACATGGAGGGAAGTTAGGCCGGCGCCTGGCAACCCCAGCGAACCCTGGAAGGAGTAAGATGCCTCGTTTCCCTGGGCGTTTAAGAAAGAAAGAGTTGCGCAACCGGAAGTTCCGCCTCCTGGCCCAGCGCTTCCTGTTTGGTAACTAAGGGCGCGAGATGGTTGCTAGCGCTCCGGAGGCAATTACACCGAAGCTTCGTGGGAACCTCGGGTGCTGGTCCTGGGCCTTTTCTCCATAGGGTTCCCTTTGCCATCATGAGTAGCGACTTTCTGTCAGGGCTGCACTGGGACGATGGCTTCGCCATCCCTGTGGCGAACCAGGAGAACAAGATACTGGAAGATCAGGTGAGAAGCAGGTGAAGAAGGCTGCGGAAGGAGGGGGTATCTTTTTGGGGGGAGGGGGGGGTGTGATGAGTTTTCTGGTAGGCAAGAATATCCCATTCCTTTTGTTTCTCTCCTTTCCTTCCTGAATCCCATCTCTGCTTGGTCTAACGCTCCTCCACTTCACCTTTCCTTTCTCCCACACCTTCCGCCCTTTTCGGTACTTGCTAAGGCCCAGCGGTTCTCAACCTGTGGGTCGCGACCCCTTTGGGGGTCGAACGACCCTTTCACAGGGGTCGCCTAAGACCATCGGAAAACACATATATAATTACATATTGTTTTTGTGATTAATCACTATGCTTTAATTATGTTCAATTTGTAACAATGAAAATACATCCTGCATATCAGATATTTACATTACGATTCATAACAGTAGCAAAATTACAGTTATGAAGTAGCAACAAAAATAATTTTATGGTTGGGGGTCACCACAACATGAGGAACTGTATTAAAGGGTCGCGGCATTAGGAAGGTTGAGAACCACCGATCTAAATATTTCAGATTTTGTGGTCTCTACACTGGAGTTGTAAACAACCATAACATGGGCAGAATTCACCATAAGAGTGGTGTGTGAAGTGCTATGATATTTCAGAAGGAGGAGGGAGGGAAATTCTGGCTGGACAGGACAATCAGGGTTGGCTTCACAGAGGAGGTGGCATCTGAGCTGAACTTTTAAGAGTAAGTTCAATTTCTATCGGCTGAGAAAGGCTGCTGCAGGGTAGAGGGGACTGAAAGAATGAGCGTATCGAATTGTAATGACACAAGTTAGGAGGGAAAATTGGGGAATTGGGTGGGGGAAGGGGATTATAGTCTTTTTTGTCATCTCCACCCTTCCGTGTTCACCCGCACCCGGTCCCAGCTCTCCTCTTTCTCTCAGCATCTAAGAAAGATTAACTTCTCTCAGTGCGAGAGAGAAAGTTATCATTAGCAAAGAATTAAGAGTGATTAATGATGCTACCCCTCCCCCCATCAGCCTTATCTGGTGGCGATGAGCTGGACAATGCGGCGGGTTGGGCGGGGGAAGAGAAGGAGAGGGAGAATGGGAAACAATAAATGTTCAATGCAAGGAAAACGGGGCGCAGCGCTGTTCCCACTTGTTAGATTGAAGGCTCCTCTCCAGAGGGGGGAAGGCTCCAAATTGCTAATTAGCACCTCTGAAAAGGCCTGTCTCTGATATGCGCGTCGCTGAAAGGCCGCCGTTAATGAAGCCGCCGCGAGCCCGCTTCCCTTTGACTGGCCTTCATCCCTCCTCCGAGCCCGGGGCTGCGGGAACAATGAGGCGGGGAGGGGCGGCTCCCCCAGGCCTC